TATAAATAATAAAAAGTTATTATAGTTTAAAATTTTTTATATAAACTTACTTATATATATAATATTAAAGTAATTTTAAATAATAAAAGCTATATTTTTATTACTTAACTAAATATAAAGCTATTAAAGTATAATTTATTAATTATAACTATATGTCAGGTCCGTGGCTGGAAAAGGGTTGTATTGCTATTGACGAGGTTGCTGTTACAACCCGCAATACGAACTACCCGAGCGCAGAGGCACTCGCGGAAACAGACAGACAGATCGGGCTAATCACGCAGGACCAGGTCACGGAACCAAGGGGAACACGTGTCAGACAAATAGGCATCCTGCCTTCCACCACGGACTGTTGGTGGATGGGAACGATCTAGGGGGACATCACGGGAACAGGGCTTCACGTGATGGCTCGAGGAGCTCGAAGGCGCGAGCCAGGCGAGCGCTCGAGGAGCTCGAGGCTGCGAGCCAGAGGAGCGGCTCGAGGAGCTCGAGGCCGCGAGCCATACGAGCAGGAGGTTTCTTAGGACGGAGCTTTCGTATATAGGGACGCTCCTTTGCATAGATAGGAACCTCGTGTTCAACTCAAGACTTCAATACTACCTATTGGAAGTAACAACCCCGTCTTGCACCCTGATTGATTATTGCCTCACCTTTTGAAGACTATTGCACCCCGACGACGACTTGACCTATACCCTGCCTTAGTGTGTGACACTTGGAAGGTGTAGAAGAGACGACCCGTTACAGTTGCGTGGAGAGAAGAGAGGCTCCGGCCACGAGCCTGCTATGTAGTTGAGCGCGCGCCGGCAGAACCCCGGGCGGCGGAAGAACCCTCGGCCCGCGATCACGTGACGTCCGTGCACGTGATGACCTGCAGCCTCGATGACTACCAAGAGAATGCTAAGGAACGACGTGACACTATAAATATCTAGTACTTTAATTTAGAATATTTACTTAGCAAAAACTTTGTTCTTAATTATTATAATATTTATTAATAGAATTACTATATATACTATTTTATATAGTAGTTATATAGTAATACTTTTATATAGCTTAATTATAGCTTTTATTTATTTATATTTAATAAAAATATATAGTTATTAAAGGATTTAAATCTATTAGTTTTAAGCCTAGTTACTCCAGAAATAATTAATATATTTAATTGAAACCTCTTCTATAGTAATTCTAGCATATACTAATATATAAGTTTTAATTTATAGCTTATTATATAAGAGCGTTGCTGTATAATCTAATTTTAATGGGTTGGAGAAAACGTGCACAAGGTGGTAGCGTGCACGAGCCGGTCGCCACTTCTATCCGACGATTGAGCAGATAGTTATAGTTGAGACACGTCTTTATATCGGCACAGAAGATCCCAAATGTGGACGATTAACGATTGAGCTTCGAAGAGGTACGGCTGAGGGTGAATACGACTTTGATGTCAAGCGCTGCGATGCGCGGACACCAAGCCAGAGCCTGGTCTGGAATAACTTCGGCTTTTTTAGAGACATGGACTGCAAAGGGCTTAGCGAATCTTGGCGAGATAAGCGACAAGCTCTTCTTCTCCTCCAGTCATCTCCGGACTGCTTCTCTCGAGTTCTTATCGCCGCCCTGTGGTCTAATAACACGTTCCTCTTTCCCTTCGCCTCCCGAACTTCCTTTGAACGCCCCTTCCCGTCCAGACATCAAATGGCGTCCAACCCAGGACTATGCCTGTGCGCTGCGAGATCCTTTCTGTCCTTCTTTTCACTCCTATGGGTGCTTCCTACTAAATGCCTCGAAAAACTACAATCTCCGACCAAAACACACCAAAACACGGTATTATCGAATGCGGTACAATTTTCCTGAGAGAGTTTCACGACAGTGACGCGGGTGAAATTGAACGTCAAGTGTATCAGCGGCTCGGTTCGCACCCTAATGTTGCAAAGCTGCTGGATACCTAAACAGATAACTCAATCATTCTCGAGCGAGGCAACTCCATGCCGAAGATCTGTCGAACTTCCTCCGCAAATGAGATATCAATTGGAGCGCTTATGCTTGATAGGCCAGCAGAGTACTCTACTGGCTATTGAGCAGGTTTCCGGGGTAGAATCGGAGGGAAAGGGAGGTTATCGTGATAGAAGGCGCTCACAAGGTGACACAAACACCGGATTAGGTCGGGCTCGCGATCTTGCGATGAGCAATTGACGTGGCGAGGAGCCAATAAGATGCAGAAGAAAGATCAAATGAGACTCCTCGTAATCTAACGGAACGTTGGTGATCTGGCAAGGTAGCTGGTAATGCGATAAGCTGTCGAGGAAGATGGCGGAGTGATTCAAAAGAGAGCTACGCAGCGCCTCTACGCCCTTCTACACTCCACTTTCTTAAGTAAGTTTCAGCTTCAACTCCAACACTTCCTCGAGCTTCCTCTTCTCACTCATTAACAATCTTCTATCGAGCCTTTCTCTCGCTTCACTTCCATTCTCCCGACATGGCAACAGTTGACACTCGTCCTGGCTCAACGGCTTCTGGTCTTCTAAGAGGCCCTAGAGGTGGAGGCGATGATCCGCCGGACCCAGGCCGTGGTCGCCGCCTCACTCGTTTGCAGGAGGCCGAAGGCATATCGGAGCATGAGGTTCTATGGCAATTCAGTAAGTATGCTCTTGTTGTCTTTGGCTTCCTCATGCTAATAATAAACAGTCAAAGACAACCTCAATCGAAAGGTGAACTTGGGCCTGATCCGTCAACTACATAACATCCTGCGCCGATGGAGGCACGCCACCGAATGCGAGCACCCTATTCCAAAGAACCTTCGGCCGTACGCAGTGACTCTCAATCATCCAAACTACGCTCGATACGGGCCTGTTTTCGAAGGCCCGAAGGGAGTTCCGATTAATCTCAGCCTCCAGGAATACTTGCGGATTGACCAGTCCAAGCCCATCTCCAACTCCAACCGCTGGTATGCTTCGAGGCTCCCAGCTCTCTTCAAACAAATATGGCGATCTCCAGGATTATGATCAGAAGGGATGGTAGTAATCAGAGCTAGCAGAGTGGCAAGCAAGACAAAGTGCAGAGACACTTTAGTCGTTACAGTATATTCCTCGTAAGGGTCGCTTTCATCGTGACGTAGTGGAAAACCCGGAAAGCAAGGCGTGCTTTCTCGTGATTTCCGAGCTGACACGGGGGGTGATAGTCTCGGTCGCCAAGGCGAGTTCTATGTCGGGCATCTTCGGGCTCGCAGCCTTGCGAGACCGAGAAGTCGGTGGGCAGAGTGAATATCGACCCTACCCCTTAACTACTGCTTGATCCAAGTCAACAAAGTCTCTCCTTCGGACCCTCACACTACTTATTACAGTCCACGAAGAAGAATTCTTTCGGGCTCCCTGCCCTTAACACCATCGCTCTAGTCCAATATGAAGTTAACCGCGGTTATCGCCGCCGCCATCTTGGCTGCCAGCGCCAATGCTCTCGCTATTCCAGCGCCAGGTAAGCCCAAATGCGTTCCTAAGCCTCTCTTTAAAACATAGAGCTGCCATCTGGTTAGAGGATTATTGGCTGCAACAACAGGATTGAGATTGGACGAGCGCACGGGGATGTGCTACAAGCCGAACGTGGTCTAGTTAGGGAGATAGTGTCAACTATAGACAGGTTCAAGTCGATACAGTCGTTCAGGTCCTTAGAGAGGCCCACGGGCACGAGCGTATTGTCGTTCGAGGACCAGCAGAGGGTTAGGTCCAAGCTCCACGTATTACTGAAGGGCAAGCCGCTCACGGTGACGGAGAAGGATAGGACCGTGAGGACCGTCAGGAATCATGGGTCTGCTCAGGTTCAGTCACATCGCCGCCCTCAAGCACCACTACCTGTCCACCTCAATCAGGCCGATGCTCATCCCGAAGGGAAGGACGTGGGGGAAGGAGTGGTCCTCGCGACGATCATGCAGCACATGCCCTTGGTCGTCAGGACGCTGACGGCGATCTCCAGGTCCACCACTATGTAGGAGAAATTCCTGATCACCATCTGCCTCCACTCCTGGATCCTGCCGGCGCCGAAGCTCACGATAGCCTTCCTGTTCATCGAGATCCTGGACTAGGCCATCTCGTACATCCTTGTTCTCGTGGCCACTAACATGACGGTGATGTTGAGCAAGGTTCCGTTCACCTGCGGGTCCCCGGACACCGTAATCCTAACCACCTCCATAGGGTTCGGTAGCTTTTTAAGCACCCTCGGCCTCGAGCTGATTATCAGGATCTCGTACTGCTTGACGCCCCTGGCCACACGTCCTCTTCTATGTGCGCCGTCGCGATGGGAACCAGAGACCCGTTGTCGGTGACGTTCGGGGTTATATCTGCACACAAGAGGTCGACCGTGGGCTGCTTCATGCGCCTGAGCTCGGTGACGAGCAGCCTGTCGTTGGGCACCCCCGAGAGCATAAACTCGAAATTCGTGGGAGGTCCTGTTCCAGCTCTCCCTGAAGGTCATAATCGGCTTCGCGGACTCGATCACAGACGTGAGGCTCCTCACGCCCTTCTTCAGCTTCGTGCTCCCGGCCACGCCGAAGATGAGGTACTCTACAGTGCACGCGTTCCTGGAAGCGGCACGGTTTCAAGCCTATCTGTAGGTGCAGCGCGAATCCACGGTTTCTATTGTTAACAGCTTTCTCGCCTCCTCTAAGCCCTCGTCGCGAGGCATCCTCTGCACGGCCAGCAGCCTCACCTACGATAGCTCCGCGCCGGAGATCTATGCAGGAAGTGTAACCTCCGATTTGGTGGGTGGGTGTAGCAAGATAATTAAAAGCTGCAGAGCAAGCAACAAGTGGAGGTGCATCCACCTCAGAGCTCTATATATCACCACATCGGTCCTCCGGGCCGCATTTTCACCTCTCTTGAACCGTGCAAGCCTTAGCTCTAACCTGCTCAGCAAGTCGTGGTAAAGAAGTCCTACCATCCAGCAGCTACGTATTAGTCTTGGCATTTCGGGATCCGAGGCTAACCCGGCAACTGCCGCTGCTACTGTGGAACTGCGATCATCAACAACATCAACATCACTCAACACTCGCGGACCATTTCCCCACCGCCGCCGCTTATGGCAATCGCCCGGTATTCCTCCAAGCGCACGCATGCCGAAGCTGTGTTTAACCACCTACACGCCCTGCCGCCATGTGACCAAGGCCCTGTTACTGCGCGCCGGGTTATTGGGTCGACTATAAGGCCGGCCACGGCGATGCGCTCTCCACTGCCAAGCGCCAGCGGGTGCTGCGTAGCCTCTACCCCACCTCGCAAAGATTAAACGCCGCGATACGCGATATAGCTGCAGTCTCACCTACACATTGATCGACGAGAGACAAACACCCTTGGAAGAGGGATGTAGAGATGGCGAAGGAAGTGGTGGTAGCAACACGACGGGGCCCCCAATGATAGTATGTCCATTCAGAAGCGAAATCAATTGCTAGTTTGAGGTCCAAATAAAGTGTCTCTGTTACACAACATTGCTGCAGTCAGCTCCTTGGAACGGTGACACTTTGACTCATCGCCTCTGCGCCGAGTCTGATATATGTACATCATAGTTCTTAGATATAAGCGGTATTAACTTCATTCCTGTCATCATGGCTATCAATTGCGTACCCTGCGACCAGACTTTTGGCAGCGGCGAGGCTCTACAGCAGCACAAACGAGACTCGCTCGCACATGCTTTCGACTGCGCAACTTGCGAACGCTATTTCGGCAGCGGCACGGCTCTGCAACAGCACCTACGGAACTCTCCCGTTCACCTTCCACTCTTTGACTGCGACGACTGCGATCGATCCTTCGATAGCGAGGAGGCTCTAGAACAGCACATGCGAGACTCGCCTGCGCATGCTCCGTCCTTCGGCTGCGACACTTGCGATCGATCCTTCGGCAGCGAAGAAGCCCTAAAGCAGCATCTAAGGGACTCCCACAATCACCGACAGGCTTCTAAAACCCCTCTGGATGTATTATTCCTCTCTTTCCGGACCTTCGAGTATGATCCTTCTCTACCACCAGCAACGTCCTACACCTGTTTGCGAGAGCACGAGGGTTGGCGACGTGGCGACATTGCGTCAAACGATGCCTGGAACAGATACCAAGATGCGTTGGAGAGCGAATTGCGCATGTGGTATGGGACAGAGGACGATTTGACTGCGTGGCATGCGCTTTGTCGTGCTATTGGTGTGAAGCCGCTTCCGCAAACATGCGAGCAATGCGAGGAAGTATGAGCTCATTATACGAAACTCTAAATATGCGTGCTGATCCTGATTATAGTCTGTCCGAAGGACACATGTCAATATTGTTACTCAGGTTGAAATTGATGTGAACTCTGCTTTCTATGGGTGTCTAGCTCGTTGTTTATATACTAGGGGAAGGAGGGGGGCCAGCCCCGGGGGGCATAACGTGGTATCTCTTCCTGACGCGTTACTTGATTCATCCTGTTTCCTGATACAGTACTGATACCGTGCTGCAGCACTGCTGTTGCACTACCTGTTACTTCCTCCTGTATCAGCATGCTATCCTGATACGTTACTGCATATGAGTTGCTGACCCTAGGTTGTAGTGCTGCAACCCGAGTTTGTTGATTTGATTGAATGGGGACGAAGACGTGAAAATTCCGAGGAAAGAGTCCAGACCTTTCGCAATGTGGCAGAGCTGCGAGCTTATACTAAGGAGACGGGTAAGGTATTTCGCAATACGTTCGGTCAAGAAGACAGCAGTGTTGTCCTGAGACACTTGCTTCGGAAGATTTTTCGAGAGAGCTTGTGAAAGGCGTAGGCTAGTGTTTGTATCGTGGTCGATATGCTAGTGGTTGGGGGCTATAGCTGCTTCGTTTGCTGTAAGGTCAATGCTTTCTTCGCGAATTGAACATTATAGAAATTATTTTTAGTGGGTCGAAAGAAGTCGCCATCGATCAAGGTCGGGCAAGCTTAGAGTTTGCCGACCCACGGCGGGCGTTCCCATTGCGGGGCAATCGATCGTCGATCGATTGCCCCGCAATGGGGGGACTAAGTTACGACCGGGGTTACTTGGCAAACATGGGTGCCGTCTTCCGAGTTAGATCAATAGGTTGGCCGGTTGTCGTTCGCTATAGATAGTGTTAAACTTCCGCAGCCATCCGCCTACCAATTAATTAGCACGGACAACTCTCCGGTCTCATCAAGGATCATCGCTAGTCATTTTAAACTACTAGTCATGTCACTGAACCATACATGATAAATGGGTTGAACTCCTCTCAGAGAGAAATCATGTGAGCCATAGAGATCAGATCCGCTATTCCAAGTAGGGTAAAAGGTCAAACACCGCGAGTAACTTCAGTTTAGCACCAATGATAGATTGACACGAATATTGTTGCATGCAGGTGCTCGAACCCTTCTTACCAGGGCGGGTACTCAGCCTGATGAAAGATCACCTCCCGCAACCTTCAAAGCCCACAAGGTCTTCTTTCATGATGGCCAAGGAAAACATTCTCGATAAATTCACGGTCTTCGATCTATTGAATGGCGCCTCACCAGACTTGTCAACGGAAGAGCGATTGCGTCCGTGGCGACATAATCGGTCCCATTCGTTTCGCTTGCCACTTCTAAGAATTTGGGACACGTTTTCTGGGAGTCAGCCCGACGAACACAATAAAATGAACTCCAGAGCGCCGAACAAACGTCTTGACAACATCGAATCTCGGCGAACTTCTTTAGCCACGCACATCAACCACGAAGATTGGATGCCAACACCTTTCGTCTCATTTACAAGCTCGCCAGCAGCAGTAAATGAGTTGGCGGAATGGAGAAAATTGAGGAGGGGAGACCAGACTCTCACAGCCATAGACCCCAGTATTCGTATAAGTAACGGACTGCCTATCTTGGACCTCGCTGCTGAAATGGAGCACTACGACATTTCGAATCCATACGGCAAGAAGGACCAATACTGCATCGACCACTATGTTTGTCTCTGGCAAGTCACAGAGGATGAGATAATTAGTCACTGGAAGTGGGACGAGCTTGCTGCGTCTGAGAACTGGTACGAAGACATTGTTATGCCCGCTTTTCAGAACTTCAGTCAGAGTTCTATTCCGAAAGCTGAAGATTCTGACCTGTCAAAGATCATGGATAGACTTAGCCGTAAGTTCTCAGTAATCCACGATCTACGAAGCTAACGAAATCAGTGCATGACGAATCGCCAGATGCAGCGAGCTATCTCAGCGAAGTGCCAGGTACATTGAGCGTAGGACATAATTGTTTCTCTGAGAACGAGTTCTGGGTGTCGGACAATAGCGCTGACGAGGGATGCTACTATGACGGAGAGAATGAGGACTGGGACACCGACGATGAAGTTGAATAGGCCAATGCAGAGTGGGGATCAATCAATCAATCAACTTTGACGTCTCCAAGTTGATTGATTGCTTCGTTGAACAGGCTGTGATTGATTTGATTTGATTTGATTAATTTCTGAGATGCTCAAGTTGAGTTGATGAGATTGATACTTTTTGACCCCCAAGTTGAATTGATTGGTTTGATTGATAGATTGATTGATAAGTTGATTACTACTTAGGAGGTTTGATGCCAATTCGACGCCAGGAGCGTATAGATTGCAGAGCACTAAGTAACTCAGGCTTTATATTAAGGCGTCGTACGCCCAGGAGATCGCCAAGTTCGCTGAAAATTCTCTCACAATTAGCTGAGGAGGCTGGGATGGAGTAGATATCAAGGGCTAGCTGGCCTAGAATAGAATAGCGATCTCTTGTGATAACCTAGTACTAAATAGGGTCCTTCGCTAGTGGGTTGTCCTGTTTCAGAGTTGGCTCGCGCTTCCACCTCTTGTACTCGTCGTTAACAGTTTCCTCCATCTCCTGCTTGCCCTCCTCTATAGAGTTCCTAAGGAAGTCTGCTCGGTCGTTTATAGGGCTTGTTCAACGGCGTTTTGCAGGCCTTATATTAGGAGACAAGGTAGGAGATACTGCGCCAGCAGCCTTTGCAGCCACCTTATCCTTATATGCCTGCCACAGCAGCCGGAAGGAGCTATAGCTATTTAAAAGCCAGTTCTTATATAGATATAGCCTATCGCGCTTTATATTATAATCCTTTAGCACCTTCTATAGCCCCTTAAGCACATGTTTATATACTAGATAAAGTATTATAGCTGCAAAATAGATAAAGGTATCTTCTATCTTCCTATAGTAATCTGCAAGCTTTTTATAGGCGGCGTTAATATTAATAACTAAGTAATCTTTAGGTGCATCTAAATTCTTATAGTTAATAGCCTTAAGCCTCTTCTTCTGCTTTTTAAAGGCTAAAAGTAGCTATTTAAATATAATAAGAACTTCCTAAATAGCTCTATAGCTACTAGCTAAACCTCTGCCCTATAGCTATATTATTGCATTTTTAAATAGCTTAAGCAGCTGCTTATACTCTATAATTATTACCTAATTACCTGTATTTAGCCCTTACTTCTTAATAAAGCACCGCAGTTTCTTCTTTTTTATATTCTTATACTAAAATACTACTTTAATATTATATTCCTTAAGCTTTATATATATATACGCGTTAAAAGGGCCTTAGAGCTTATAGGCGCACTTAAAGCAATTATAGTAAAAGTTCTACTAAGTTCTAATAGGCTTAATAAGCTTCTTTAGTTTATAAAATTTATTGCAGTGCTTTAAGTTTTCTGCCTGCAGCTTAATAAACAGCTCTCGGGCTTATAAAGAGGCGCTAATAGATAATATAATATTAAATAGCACCCTAATAGGCCCGGCTTTCCTCTACTCTGCTATTAGCAGTTCTTTTTCCTATATTACTATTAGCGTAATATAGAATAGTAATAAAATTAGAGATGTAATTTTACCTATATATTTATATCTATACTTTTAAATACCTTTTTATTCTTACCCTATATAATTGCTTAGGCAGCTAAGTTAAGAATATAGCAGGTATAATATAACTAATACTAGGAGATGCTAAACTTAAACTTATTAGCTATTACTATTAAAGCAGTATTATTATTTATAGTATTATTAAGTATAAAATAGCTAAGGCGCTTAGTATTAATTTTAAATAATTATAATATTAAGCTAACTATCTCCGCAATATTCTTGCCTAAGTGCTGGCCTAGAAGAACAGGCAGGCCTAATAAGTAGTCCTCTAGCCGGCTATTCTTATTTAGATAATATATATATATCCTAGTAAGCGCACACTTATTGCTAACTAAAGTCTAATTATTAAATAATATATAGATAAGGCTAGTTGCCTGCTGGAGGTGTTTAATTACAGCGGGTATATAGGAATTATACTTAGCTATAATAGATTCTCGGAGTGTATAATAGGTCTTCTATAGGCTTAATTTAGCAATAGGTCTAGCAGCAGCAATTATGCTGCGGAAGGCAGGCTTCTCAATAACGCGTAAAGCCTGATTATCATCAGCAACCCAGTGTTAAACAGCGCGTAGAAACTTCGCCCGATTGAAGCTGTCCGCCAGCTTGTTGGCCACGTCCTGTGGAACATTAATGCCCTGGAACTGCATTGTCGCCAACACTGACGTCTGGTTTGGAGTAGAGAAGTTGATCTGGCCATCTTTATCAACCCTGTGGCCACGCTGTTGCCGCCCTAGGTGAGCCATAGCTGACAAAGTAGCCTTCTCAACGTTGAACTCGCCGCTAGGTATTCTGTGTATGTGGCAGTACTTGCAGAGCCAGAACTTCTGGCGCTGCTTTCGATGGTAAA